TAAAGTTTCGTCGGAACGAAGCTACGGAAAGTTAATTAACAAACGGAGACGTAACAATACTATATTAGTTATGTATTTTTTTCAGCTATGACCAAAACTTACGTTTTTTTAATTATGGACGCCACCAATTCAATTTGTCGTGTGACGTAATTTGGTGACCTACACGAATATACCATATCACGTCTTAGCCTGCATCCCATATGAGCTCTACATTACTTTGTCCACCAACGATTTCCATAAAATTGATATATTGGATTACAGCTAAAGCTTGTTGTTATAGTGGAGGAAACAAAGGCAATTTTGCTGGAGCAGAGGTTCGTACTACAGAGGATAACTAGGCCTAATCACGGGGTTTGAAAATTGTCAGTTTTCGTGGGTTGATAACGTACTGTTACATATCTGCTTGTTTGTTAATTTCCGGTATAAATTCTTTCCGAGGAACTTCAGCGATACAAGTCCTTTCTTAATTAAAACTAATTTATTCTTTCTCGATACAACTTTGTAATACACAGAATTTCCACACACTTTACTTACGGTGCCTACTGTTCGCTTGACTCAATTATCTCTTTCTTCAATCTAACTGCCTGATCGCGCTGGTTTTTCTCGCCAGGCTTCTATACTAAAAAAAGGGCGCCTTGAACAAACTAGAGTTGCCAGGAAAATTCATGATCCTTCTAGAAACTCCATCACGCATGCACCTAGCGTCGCGTGACTTCCGCTGTCGTAACAGCACTTTTCGCCTGAAAATAGTTAAAATCGTATTTCTCTCATTAATCACCACTAAAAACTTCAGATTAACAGGAATATAACAAATTCGTTAAAATTACCTTGAACTATTACTTGTAGAAGGAGCCCCTTAACTTCAGAAAAACAATACCCCCCCCCTCTAATTCTCGTAAGTCTCTGAATGCTCCAAGTAACAATGACCCCAAAAATAGATGTAACTAGCCTTCCCCCCAAAAAAAATCAGAGTAAATCACATTTCTCGAATTACACAAACAAACTGCAAATTTAATTTTAGGCTTAAGTAATTAATAAAGCTGTTTAATTGTGACAAAAATCGTCGTTCTCTTTTTATGGCTCGGCGGTTAGGTCGCTTGACTAGCAATCTGATGGTCGCGAGTTTGAATCCCCGTCCCACCAAACATGGTCGTCCTTTCAGACGTGTCGGCGTTATAATGTGACGGTCAATCCCACTATTCGTTTGAAAAGAGTAGCCCAAGAGTTGGCGGTGGGCGGTGATGACTAGCTGCCTTCCCTCTAGTCTTACACTGCTAAATTAGGGACGACTAGCGCAGACAGCCCTCGTGTAGCTTTGCGCAAAATTCAAAACAAAACAAACCAATCATCTTATTTATCTATCTACATTACTGTGTCGTCAATGCATTCTAAATATATAACTTGTTGTGATTCCTTACAACACCAATCAATAGTCACTTGCTCACTAACCCTCACACTTCTCCCGAGTGGTATAAACATTTCACACGGTGGTTCAGTGGTAAACTTGAGAGCTTATAACACTGGAGTTCGAGGTTTGATCGCCGCGTCGGCCACATTGCAGGTAGCCCATCATACAGCTTTATACCAATAATTCAAACAATCGAGCTCAAATGATTGTTGATGGAGACTTCATACCGGAATATCTAAATTTCCTCAGATACGTGTTAATAGTTTCTAAATGTAAGAAAAACGAGACTTCAATTTAGGGGTGTCACGGTCATTTGGATAAACAGCTATGGTCTTAGGCCCTAACCGGTTCAAAAGTTTTCCTAAGTGCTACTCAAGCTTGAAGCTGATGTTTCACGTGATTTTTTATACCGCCGCATGTGGATATCAGATTATATGGTTCGCGTCCCGTTATTGCCAAAGAAATGCTCTTCACACTTTGGTAGTGGGTGATGTTGACTAGCTGCCATCTCTCTAGTCTATCACTTCAAAATTTGGGATGGCTAACGCAGATAACCCTCGAGTCGCTTTACACAAAATTCAACAAAAACAACCATCTCATATTTCGTGCATCAAAATTCTATTGTAGTCGAAGTTCGCTCGTTTGGTCTCACCACATGTGAAATAATACAAGGATATCCCCGTCTTGGAAGTTCTAAATTTCTAATCTGAACACATCTTTATGATCTGAATGTATGAATATTTTGAGTTAGAATGCTGTTACATGTTCTTCCCGAAAGCGTATGTTAATATAATATACTGAACCCTTTGTAGTTATGTATACAACAAAACGTGTACATTCTTGGGTTGTTGTTTTTTTTTTCAGATTTTTTTCGTATTGAGGAAGAAATTCTCTCATATTTCAACACTACATGTGATACATCATGGAGTTATGCCTATTAGTGTGTGGTGGGGAGTCAAGTTCACTCCAGGTGAGTTGTTGAGATCATGTGGTTTTAGGATAGACATTGTTGTTTAAATATGTGTTGGAAAGTCAAGTTTACTCCATGTCAGTTATTAAATGGGTGAAATCTTGCATCTTTAACTGGCCAAAGATTAACTGTATTTGAAATTGCATAAAAACATGTGGTGGAAAGCCTGTTTATTTATATTGTTGTAATTGAGGGACGTTAACTTCTACATAGCAGGCTTGGTTTGGAAGATGTCAATGGATAAACATGCTTTTTCTTACTTTCCGGGTGTGACTCCGTCGTTATTGTGAAATCTAAGGCGCACTTAGGTGTACTACAATAGGGAAGGTGAAATTCATCTATTCAGTCAGATAAGTGTGTCCCATGAGTTGGCGGTGGGCGTTGTTGACTAGCTGCCTTTCGCCTGTCAACTCAAAATTATAGACGGTTATGTACAAATAGGAATTTGTGTAGCTTTGCGCAAGAATTCAGAAACAAATCTTATTCTTTACGTGTTGTTATTACCATAATATATGTTTTATGAAGAATTATAGGTTGGCCTGGCATGGCCAGGTGGTTAGGGCGCTCGACTCGCAATCTGAGGGTCGCGGGTTCGAATCCCCGCCACACCAAACATGCTCGCCTTTTCAGCCGTGGGGGCGTTATAATGTGTCGGTCAATCCAACTATTCGTTGGTAAAAGAGTAGCCCAAGAGTTGGCGGTGGGTGGTGATGACTAGCTGCCTTCCCTCTAGTCTTACACTGCTAAATTAGGGACGGCTAACGCAGATAGCCCTCGTGTAGCTTTGCGAGAAATTCAAAACAAACAAACAAACAATAATTATAGGTTATTAATTAAATGGCGATATTGGTAACATAGTATTTCAGACGGTTGAAATGATATCCGATAAAAATTACACTGGTAGCAAAGTGAAAAAAAAGTGGCACCGATAATAGTGTAAAGTGAAAGGAAATAAAGATTGCACCAGTAATAATTCAAGGTAGGAGAATAATTTGTTTCTTTGGGGAACAAACGATCTCATTTCTTTCGCATTACGTTGCTACTTCTACCGGAACCATTATTACAAATATTGACATACATTTGTTTCTTCTGTACTACATTACGAATAATACAATTTTTACTATGCTATTAAATAATAAAACAGGTTCTAAAATCACGAGGAAGGGTTTTCTGTGGGCATTATCATGTTTGTCATACAGGTATGCTAAATAATAGCATAAGATTATCCAGAAATGTGGTTGATTGGTAGGTGGCAGAAATCAAAAGTAGAGCCAGTTATATCGGGAACCACCACATGTTGATAGGTTCCAAATCCTGATCTCTTCAGATCAAACCTCTGTTTCTTGAAAGAATCTGGTTCATTACGGTTAAGATGGTTGGCAGCAAACAATAATACAAACTTCCCATGTTTCGTGATGTAATAACAGACCAAAAACAGTTCATTCAAAATAACGTTTCTAATCATGAAAATTAATCAAAAGGCAGATAGTCAAGGAGATCCACAGTGATTATAATTTTTATTCTTAATAGCCTTCTAAGATAACTTTACCATTTTAAAAGCATTATATTTGGTAAAATATTGATTTTATGGGTAAAATTTAATTCAAAAAATGAGAACTTGTGGAGAAAGGGGGGTGGGTGCAAAATAGAACTAAAGTTGCCTATGGACCCATTGTGGTCGTAATCTGGGCCTGATTAAAAGGATAATGTTATTGAAGTTGTGAATGTAAAGTTTATAATATAATAAAACGCTTTGGTAGTTGCTTTTATGACTACCTTATATTTTTTTCCAGGTGGCCATAGCACGTTTTTTGCCTTCGTCAATAGTTTTGTCCACATCATCATGTACATCTATTATGGTCTGGCAGCTGCAGGACCCCAAATGCAAAAGTACCTGTGGTGGAAAAAGTACATGACAACCATTCAGATGGTAAGCGGTCGTTCAAAACTGAGTTGTGGCCAGATAAACCTCTATTTTTATAACAGTATCTAAATATGAAATAAGTTTAGTTTAAAATGTTACAGGTCAGTATCAGAGGTCTTGAAAATTTCCTTTTAATTCACAGATGGCAGCACCGACAATAACCAAATAATGATTTTGTTCTTCAGCGTAGGGCTGCAGAATATGCTATCTCTGCTGTGCCCACTACAAGGATCGAATTTCTTATTTTAGTGCTATCTGTCCTCGAGCTTATGAGGGATAAAAACTAATATCAAAATTTAAACAACATTAGATTATTTGAAAACACAAAGAAAAATGTTTAAGCTAAAATATCATTGATCAACTAGTGGAAAAGCTTCTATCTTATGTATTTACAACAGTTAAATATATATTTTTCCCAACTTTTTTTTGACCCAATACAGTTTCTTAAATGTTAATTTGTTACGTATAATGGTTGTAAGCGGTGCAAGGTACATATTTCAATACAGTTTCTTTTATGTGGTAACAAATATTCTACGCTTTGATGCCAGATTTCGTGGTCCAACTTTAAAGTATATTCTAAGCCATTTTCTTTTTTTGTTACCTCTTTACGAACGATCTAGGATTGTTCTTCTATGAACAGGCTGAACATGGCGCTGTTGATCAGTTGCTTTCTCACTTCTCTATCAACTTAAAATTAGACTGCCATACGTAGACAGTCCTTTTACGTATTATGCGCGAAATTTCTTAAACAAATAATTATCTTCATTAACTAGTGACGCTATACCAAAGATATTGTTTTTTTTTATTCTTTGCCGTCAGGTGTATGATAACCCAAACGCGACTGAAACCAATGGTTAAAGTGGATGTAACTGATGGTTAGGGCGTTCGACTCAAGGTGTACTGGTTCCAATCCCGTCACCAAACATGCCCGCCCTTTCAGCTGTAGGGGCGTTATTATATGATGGTCAATCCCGTTTTTCGTCTGTAAAAGAGTAGCCCAAAATTTGGCGGTGGTTGGTGTTGATTAACTGTCATCCTTTTGTCTATAATTTCTAAATCAGTGCCTCTAAGGTGCTTTGCACGAAATTCCACAAACAAACAAAGTAGAAATCTAGAGCTGGAAGGTGGGTGATTGGAGTGCCTAACTCACTAGGGCATTCCTCATAGGAAACTTTAAGAAATCAGCAAGAAAATATAAACCTTGCAGTTAGACATGCACAGAAATATATTTAAAAGATATTCACAAAAATCGCGCTAGTGCTTATGTTTCTTGGACATCCAAAACGTTGCATCACTTCTGTTGTTGTTTTCTGGGTTTCTTCCAGCTATTCAAGGCTTTACACATTGCAGTAGACTCCATTGCTCCTGAGATATCCCCTTGTTAGATACAAAAAATCAGCACGCCCAGATCCCCTAACTGTGGATAGTTAGCAGCATCTTGAATCTTGACCAATGAAAACAAGTTTTCTTGTATAATCGTATGCTTCTCATTTTAGTTCCTCCTCAAACTTTTAATTGTGTTATAATATTGTTTCAGTTTTTCTTAACACGTCGTTCCATATTGCTTGAGAATGGGGGAGCTTTCCTTAGCTTTACATTTTATAAGGTGTTCACCAGTTTACTAAAAGTACTATTATAAGCTAACATGAACTAAATGAAATTAGTAAGGAATTTAAAATTAAAGAATTTTGTGTTTTTTTCAATGTATTTACTTTCGTAGTTTTGGGTTATTGTTTTTTTACACATTTATGTAATGTGTGTAGTTGTGTTATACATTTTAACAGGGTAGGAACAGTTTGTTGTTGTGTTTTTTATTGGGGGGGTCAATACTTATCTATACGAACTTTTAAAATTCCAGCCCTCTCCCTGCTGTGATTCTATACTTTATGTTACGACTTTGATATTTTTCTCGTAGTTACAAAAATAAACGATAATTGACTCATTAAATTATTTTAATTAACGCAATTTATCAGAAAATGGGATTTAACAGATACTGTGAGGATGTAGATAACTATTCTTACGTTACTATTTTCAACACTTGATTTTTTTAAATCACGTATTATCACCATTGTTATAGATTGTAAGTTAAAATTTACTTATTTGTTTTCAAACATCGTATGGATTGTTTTTGTTTCAGATTCAGTTTATCGCGATTTTTCTCCACGCTTTCCAACTTTTGTTCCGCGAGTGTGACTATCCAAAAGGTTTTATGTGGTTTATTGGCTTCCATGCTGTCCTTTTTTGGTTCCTTTTTTGGGATTTCTACAAAAAAGCCTATAAGAAACCTGGATCTCGTTTCAAAAAATGTGAAAACGACTCGTGTGATGAAAGTTTAAAAAGCAACAATATCAGAAATACCAATGGCGTCCACAAGAAGGAAATGAAAATCCATGAAAATGGTGCGAATACAAAAAATGGAATAAAGGTGATGAAGGAAGCGTGAAGTTTTGAGGAAAAAAAACTAAATTACTTTGAACATATGGAAGTACTTATTTGAATATTTTGTTACAAAAATATACCAAGAAATGCAGTATATAATTATTTTGTTTTTCCTGAGAAAAATTATAACTTTATTTTGAATGCTCCCCAGTGGCACAGCGGTATGTCTGCGGACTTACAACGCTAGAAACCGGGTTGTAGGCAGAGCACAGATAGCCCATTGTTTAGCTTTGTGTTTAACTTTAAAAACAAACAAACAATTATTTTGAAAAAGTTGGTCATATGGTTATGGTTGTAAATTTACGTATTTCAGATCATTTTTAGTTTATTTACGTGTGATACTGTGTATAAACATTTCTGGTTAGTTCGGACGCTTCTCGTGATTACTTCAACTTGGCTAAAAAAAGGTTGAAACTTTGTATACCAATATACTTCGTTATAGATTTCAAATATTGTTTGACAACTACTTTGTACGAGTCTTATAAATTTTTACTGATTTTTTAAGACTTATTAAATATTTTGGTTACTTCTTGTTTAATGATTTTTTTTTAAATAATAGCTTGTGATGCACAAAATAAAGAACAATTTATTGGTCAAATTAATGGCTTTGAGGTAAGAGTAAACAAACATGACTATGCAAAAAATAAAATAATTCACGCTTCCCTTGTCGGGGTTTTACGTCTTAAAGACCTAGGAGAGTCAGGTGCGTAATAAAAATGTAGCATACAAGTATATTTTAAATCTCTAATTTTACGGCGGGTTTTAATTCATACTTTTTTGTTTTTTTGCAAGAATTAGGAGACTTAATTCAGGATTTCATTTTTTTTTTTAGTGTTTTCACAATGTATGGATATTTTGATTGAGTTTCGGAATGAAAATATTATTATTATTTTTATTTTTTTTAAGCTCAAAGCCACACAATGGTTTTTAAATTATAAGCCTTCACACTTACCGCGGAGCCAATGGGGGCAGGTTTAAAATACAAACGTGAATATTATGAGTTAATGGTTGAAGCGTTGGAAGCCTAACAAGGTTTCTTAACTTGCCCAATGATTGCCTAAAGATATGTTACGTTATCTAAAAATGATGTTGATTAGGTTTGTTTGTTTGTAATGAACTATGCACAAAGCTACACAATGGGCTATCTGTACTGTACTCACCATGGGTATAGAAACTCGATTTCTAGCGTTGTAAGAAATCCGCAGACATGCCGCTGTGCCACAAAAACTTGTGTGTGTGTGTGAATGAACCAAATGGCCTTCTGTCACTTTTTTTTCTTGTGTTCTTTTACAGAATACTTGATTTTATTAGTAATGAAAAATTAATAATAATGCGTTCATATCTGGCAAACCACCTGACAAGGTGATCTTGAAGTTGCTACACTACTTTCGAGATTAGGGCTAAATTTTCTATAATGATTTAAACATTTTATTTTAGTTATTATATTTCTGTCCTGATCTCAATATGAAATTATGATTGAGTAGTGAGACTTATTTTTAATGTTAATAACTGTATAACATGGTAATATACGATTCATAGAAACAACAAACAAATTGTTTTCTTAGGCTTAGTAAAGTTGTGTTTTTAAACATCATTGAAAGCAGGCTATAACTCTTCGTTAGGTTATATGTAACCGGACTAAGACTAAAAGTCTCGTTTTATCCTTTCCTTCAACTTTCAGTTACTTAAAATTACTTGCTCTTTACTCAACCCGTTTCGTAGTTTTCACGATTTTTCAGCTCTTCATATTTTCACATCAACAACAATCGAACTTAAATATTATAAAACCTTTTCTTTTTTTTCCATTGCTTTAAAAATATATAAAATTACCGCAAATTGTTTAATCCGCAATTAAAATAAAAATATAGATTGCTTAGTAATAATAAAATATATATACACTTTGTAATTCTAGTATAATATTCTAATACACTTAAAATTTACAATAAACTACAATGTTAACAATTATCAATTGCACACTTAACACAAAAATTTAATAAAGTACTTACTCTACACCTCGTAGACTATGGTTCGGCACCGGGTTCTTAGGTTCGAACCCTTCCTCCCTCCTGGATTAATGACTGACAAATGTTACTTGAAGGTATTCAGACACAAAACACTGTTCACTTATACGCCTTTTCAGGGCTGTGTCCTTGAGTATAATACGAGTAGAATTTAGTGTAATTTGAAAATTATTCTCTTTAATTGGTTGTGTAAGATCACAAACACTTAACAGTTCCGAAAATAAAAACACTTGTTCACACGATATTTACCGACACGTATTCATACATAAAAAAAATACCCTTTTTTTAAATACCACGATAATATATAACTCTTGGTAAAAATAATTTTAATATCTAGTGTGGGTGGTCTTATTTCTAACGTAGATATTTAATAGTGAAACTGAATAGCATTTTGCCCTATCAACATCACGTATGATATTGATATGGAGATCTGTTTCTGTTATTGTTAATAGATCATTTTTATATATTTTTTTTATTAAAGTAGTGGAACGAGCAATCTATAAATCTGTCTTTTATTGAGGATAGGTATGCATAATTATGTAGAAATGCTGTTTGTGGTTCTTGGTACTCTGAAAGCTGTGGTAAGTATTGAATTTTGTATTATTTGTTTTTGCTACGTTTAACCATGCTGGGCAAGCATATTTTGTTACTGGTCTGATATATTGTTTATAAATTTTAATAATATTTTCTGTGGATGCTCCTGTGTTTTTGCCTGTTAGTGTTAGCCTTTTGAGATAGTTTGGTCGTTGCCACACTTTTTTCGTAATTTCGGATATATGGTTTCTCCAATTTAATTTTGAATCATATATTAGGCCTAAAAATTTTGCTAATAAACTGGTAGCAAGAATAGCTCCGTTCTGATATAATTTTGGAGGGTTTCTTACGTAATTTAAGTGATTTTTTCGAATAATATTAATTATGTTTTCGATATATCAATTTTAATTATATATTTCTGACAGTACTCAACTATTTGATTTAAAACTGGTTGTAAATTGTTTGATGCTATTGAGGGTGTGTTGAGAGCTCTTGCACATGGCCACGATGTACATGATAGGACCTCCCTGAGGAACACCCGCCTCTGGAGTAAAATACTCCGAGTAGATGCCCTCAACATTTACTCTACATTTTTTATCGTCAAGGAAGTTGGATAACTAGCGAATAACTCCTGTTGGTAATTCCATATCTTTTAATTTAAATCTTAAACCATTATGCCATATGTCAAATGTTTTCTCGATATCAAGAAAACAAGCAACAGTGCATTTCTTTTGGTTAAAGCTATCTATTACTGTTTCAGTAAGCCTAACTAAATGATCAGTTGTTTGCCGAAATTTTCTGAAACCATTTTGAACTTCGGGTAATTTTGAAGTGATCTCTAGAAAATCTGAGATCCTATTGATAATAATACTCCCTAAAATGTTGCCTAGACAACTAGTTAAACTGATCGGTCTATAATTTTCCTTACTTGAACAAGAACATAAGCATATTTGTTTACTTCCAAGAGGCAGGGATGTATCCCGAAATTATAGATAGATTAAATAAAGCTGTTAAGTGGTCAAACAATCTCCGAGTACCTTTCTTTAATAGTATTGTTTGTATTTGATCTTCTCCTGGTGCTTTCTTTGCTGTTTGCTTTATGGATAGTATAGTCTCGGGTTTAGTTATTGTATTTATGATTTTTTGTGCTAAATCGTGATTATTTCGGAGGATTGTTGTAATGGCCGAAAATTTTGGTGTGTACAAGTCTTGATTTCTGTGTACATATTCATTTAATTTATAGTTTATTGTAGAAATGGTTATTCATGTCCGGTTCTTGGTGTGTTTTAAAAATTTTCTTTAATTGGTCGTTAAAATATTCTGTTTTTTGTTTATAAGTGTAGGCTATTTTGTTATTGTAGTGTAGTGTCGGATATTTATGAATCTTTTTATTGTTTGCGACTTTTTAAATGTGTCCAAAATGTCTTAAGAGTCAATATATTCATTTAACTTGGAACAATAGTTGTCCCAGCTATCTTGTTTTAACTGTTTAACTTCATTTCTTATTTAATTTTTAATATTTGGATCTCCTGTATTGCCTTCTGAGTAATCTTGTTTGTACTTTTAATCATGTCTATTATTTGTGTATGTGGCTTCCATTTTGTATAAGAATTGTATGATTGTTGTTTTGGTATGGTTTTTTCAGCGGCATTTATCAGACACTCAGAGATTGTTTGACAGTATGCATCAATGTCTGATGGTTCTTGTGCAATTTCAACTATTAAATTTGGTAGTAATTTATCTAATTCATTTGCATATTTAGCCCAATTTGCTTTCCGATAGTCAAATTTAGGTTTTATTATGATGAGGTGCGAGATCGAAGACACGGGTTGTTGTTAGGTGATCACTATTTACATCATTACCTACATAAAAATGTGCACATTTGTTTGCAAGTTCTATTGTACTAATGCATAAATCCAGTATATCACTTGTGTGATATCCGTCACTGGTATGGGTAGGAGTGTTGTCTTTTAACGACACAACCAGAAGCGTTTAAAAAGTTTAATAGCCTTATTCCATTTGGTGTTGTTTTACTACAGCCAAAATTTTTATGTTTACTATTGAGGTCAACTATTAGTTATTGATTGTTTAATATATTCTATTAATGTATACATAAATTGGGTATCCAGTATTTTGGATGGAGAGCAATAAATACCAGCTATTGTTAATGTATTATTATTATCTGTTATATTAACATCTTTGGTAATATTTTCATTACTATTTAGAATATCAAGTTGAGTAATAGAAAGAGTAGATTTATACAGTAAAGCTATGCCCCTTTAGGGTCCATTTTGTTCATTCTATCTACTTTTAAGGTGATATATCCTGAAAATTTATGAGAATTTTGTTTATAATACATAGTTTCAGGATTAGTTTGTATTGTAAGATCTTCGATCTCGTGCCTCTTGGAAGCAAGAGCACCTTGGATGTTAATGTGTTGAATTATGAA